AAAAGAAAAAAGAAAAAAATAAATGACAAAGTAAATTAAAAAGAACAAGAACAGTGAAAAAAGAATAAAAATCAAAACTAGAGAAATAGTTTAAAAAGAAAAAGAAAAAGAAAAAGAGCAACAGAAGCAGCAACAAAAGCAAATAAGAATAAGAAGAGCCATTTGATTCTTTTCCACCTACATCCAGGCATAAATATAGAAGCAAAAGTATTTATCCGCTCACAGTATTTAATAATTCAAATTTGAATTACAACTGTTGATATTTTATTTATTTTTCTGATAAAATTATCTTTATTATATATATATATATATATAAAATAATAGGCACATAAATTCTAGCTTAAAGTGAATTAACTGAAAAGCAATTTGTGAGATTGTATTAGAATTAATGTTAAATTTGATAAATAAAGATATTATATTTTTAATTTAAAAAATTAATGTAACTTTTAATTTAAATTAAAAAATTAATATTCAGATTTCTTAAAAATATTTTTTTTGATAAAGATAATTTTTAAAATAATTAATGGTGAAAAAGGTCAAAAAATAATTTCCTTGGACATAAAGAAAAGTCCAACAAAAACATTTTTCTTTCTTGTATGTTCATTTTTGCTAAAAATCAATGCCCCCCTTGGCGGTTCAAAATTCCGCCTCCTACTCTTCTTGCCTCGTCCCAGCGAGTCTCCCTCTCTAAACTCCAAGTCGTCTTCTCCTTCCTCAGTCTTCTCGGAAGACTTTTCTTCGTCCCCGTGTCGGATCGGACTCCTCTCTTATCTGCCCACGCGGTCTTGGGCCTATTAATTCTCAATGCCGCCTTCACACGGAACCCCGAAATTTAACGCTCTTTTGAGTTTACTCGGTGAATTTCCCGTTTCCTTCCTAGAAACCCTTCACGTGACTCTTCTCACTCCGGTTGATAGACTGGCTTCCAGCTGCCGTGAGCAGACTTCTCCTAGGTCTTGTAGCCCATTTCCGCCTCTTCTGGGTTCTGAGACTATTTCTACTTTCTGGGCCACTTTCTCTAACGCCTCAAAAGCTGGATTTTCTCATTTAGGCTGTATTTCTGCAATCAGACAGATTTTTGAGGTGGGTTTTTCGCGTTGCTTTCTCTGACGCCCAAGAGCTGGGAGTTTTCGTTTGGCCCATGAATTTATCTAATCGAATTGGGAATCTTGAAATGGGTTTTTCTTTCTTCTCTTCTTTTTTATAAAAATTTTTGCAGTCTGGCTGGTTCTTTGTGTATTTAGAGGAAATGCATATTTTTCTGGACGTTGCTGGCTGTTCTTTTGATTTTGGTAGGTTTGGTGGTTGGACATTAAAATAAATGGTAATTATGGCCATTGAAATCTTATTAGTATTTGCTTGACTTCTGATCTCAGCTATCCGGCATGGAAATTGGCTTGTTGAAGATGGTGGACTGTTCTCTCTCTATCTCTCATTTTTCCCCCTCAACATATAGAGTCTCTTTCTCTCTCTCTCTCTGGTAGGAGATATTCATGTAATCTTGCACTACACGTTGGGATGATTGAACTTTTCGTCTTAGCGTTTACTTGTATGCGAAAAGAGCATATTGCAAGTTTAGCGTTTTAGGTCGACATGGTATATATTTTTTCTATTGGCACATGGTTTTATTTGGACATTATAAATTTTACTTATTAGCACATGGTTCTTGTTAAGTTTCTATAATACCAAAACATCCCTTGTCTAGCTAGTTGAATGGATTTTTTCTATTGGAATCTCATCTTCTCCATCCTGAATTTGCAGTAAGCTTCTTTTAATCATTGGAGACTATGAACTGTTTTCCGTTCCGCATTGGAGAAAAAAGGTATGAAAACAAGACCATAAAGTCAATCTTTGGTCAATCCTCAAACTCTAATGTCACGGAGCATGAGTTTAGGATTTCCGCGTCCGAAGAAATCAATTCTCAGGATATGTCTGATACCAGCACAGAGTCCATGGGGAGGGGCTCGCTTCTGAGTTTGTCTGGGAGGCCTACTAATCTGAGAATATTTACATATTCAGAGCTGAAGACGGCCACCAAGAATTTTAACCGCACTGCCAAACTTGGAGAGGGAGGGTTCGGGTGTGTATATCAGGGGATAATCAAGAGTTATGAAGAGCCAGAAATAAAGCTTGATGTGGCTGTGAAAAAATTAGCAAGTAGAGGAGTGCAGGCAGGTTTCTTATAATTCTCTTTTACTCAGTTCATTAAAGTTTAGGTCTTGTTTATTTGCATCATGTATCAGACGTAATCATGTTTAAAAAAAATAACAATTTCATATAGAATTTCACATGAAACTTCCCTAGCATTAAATTAGAAATTATAACAATATAACAATTTTGTATAAAAGTAAAAAATGCTTGGTGTGAATGGATGATAAATCATAACAGTTAGCTCTTTATCAAAATTTAATTAACTCATAGACAACTTGTAAGTTTGTAATTGTCATTGCAAGTAAATATAAACATTCAGAACTTGTGTACAGGTTCTAAATGGTTATATAAATTTATAAATGTTAATTTTCATGACTCAAGTAGGGCATCCCCACCCCCAATCCATCATTGTTCTAGAGCACGAGTGTCTGTTTCTTTGATAGAGTGAGAAATTTTTAAAGATTGTGGAAAAAACCTTCTCCAACTTTCGAATTGTCATAAATGAGTGAAACACTAGGGTGAGATAAAGATAGAGAGAGCAATGGGATGCTAATTATCTTCAAATTTGCCATAATAAATTTGTGAAGTCAAAAAGAATGCTCCCAGAAGAACTGTTTGTTATGTAGCCAAGTTATCCTGTTTATTCTCAACATCCTCTCACAAAAGTTGATGAATTCTAATTGTGTGGTAGTCAAATGTAAATATTAGAGCAAACTAAATCTAATAATTTCTTTAGTTTATGTTCTGCAACAATTCAAAGAAGTTTTGAAACGATGGCATTAGATAAAAATATTAAGTTGAAGGTAGGGAACAGCTCAAAGTTTTGAGGAGATGTCATGGTACTCCTTTTCTTTGTAACAGTTCAGAAGGTAGGGAACTCTTCTTGGTTTTCTTACTGACTCTCTGTTACCACCTTTGTGTGACTGCCAGGGCCACAAGGAATGGGTGACAGAAGTAAATGTTCTTGGGGTGGTTGAGCATCCAAACCTTGTCAAACTAGTGGGTTACTGTGCTGAAGACGATGAGCGAGGAATCCAACGGCTTCTTGTTTACGAATATATGCCTAACAAAAGTGTTGAGGACCATTTGTCTTTTAAATCAGAGACAACTCTTCCCTGGGCTATGCGATTGAAGATAGCCCAAGATGCTGCTAGGGGCTTATCATTTTTACATGAAGGAATGGATTTTCAGGTATTTGTTTGAATGCTAATTGTGATCAATAAAAAGCAAGCAACTTGTGAGTCTTGAACTATTATATTTTTTCAGTCTGGCAAACGTAAATCATTCTCTCATGTTGAACTGATATCTTTGTGCTACTACACATGTTGTAGATCATCTTCAGAGATTTTAAATCTTCAAACATTCTTCTAGATGAGCAATGGAATGCTAAGTTGTCAGACTTTGGACTGGCTAGATTGGGCCCTACAGAAGGATTAACCCATGTATCGACAGCGGTATGCTTAAATCATATCATTAATAACTTCTAATCAACTGAACCTAATAGAATCTCGTGTCCAACTGTCGTTGCATTTGCAATTCAAAGTGCAGTTATGTAATCTTTGAGTAAGATGGAATCATTATTATATGGGACCTGCAAATCATTTTTCCATTTGTTTTACTGAGAATGCTGGATAAAACTCAGTTTGAGAAATCAAGTTGTCAAAATGTGGCAACTTAGGTCCAAAAGAACCTGAGAGATCAATTTCTATACACTATATATTGTTCATATCAGTATACTATAGTGCAATCAATGTGTCATACAATATGTTAGACTTGCTAGACTATTGAACTATATTGGCAAGGGAAGGACTTCAACTGATTGCTGAAACTGCCAACTTCAAATTTCCCCCTTTTCTCTTACTTTTTACATTATCCTCCACAAGCTGTTAGCATTGCACTTTCCCTGTCTTATTCTTGTTATGCATGTTGATCATCTAATTTTAACCATGAGGATAATGACTGAGATAATTCAGGATTTTCTAATTATCCTTCATGTAAAATTACATAGAAGTGTCTTTAAAATATGGCCTTTATTTCCTCTCTCTCTCTGTGTTCTGTTAGAAAAGAACTTGACGATTCAATTTCTCTTTTTGCAAAAACTGCTTTTTCTTTATCCATGTCTATATATCTTCTTTTTATCTTTCTTTCTTAACTTTTTTCTGCATTTCAATGAATTGGTGAGATGAACAAAGAGTGAAGATGACCTTCAAGCTAAGATACTTGAACCTTACTAGCCGTGCTACCACAAGCAAACATCAAGCTGTTGACCTAGCTGTAATTTCCTGTATATAATCAATCCACTGCCAGAATAACTATTTAGTTGGACATTTTGGACTATCACAGTTTTGATATCAATTTTTTATTTTATGGTGATTTGCTATTTATTTTGGTTGTGTATCAAACTGAATTATTTGTTCTTCTAAATTCCTGCTTAAACCATGGTTGTTGGGCTTATGAATTAAATCCTGTCTAAAGTATTGTGTTTGTGATGTCAAGAGAACAAACGTGGAAAAACGTATTTATATGGATTGGATACGAGAAAAGACTTTCTCGTGTCCTCCGCATTATAAAATGTAAAAAATTCTTCATGCATTATTTTGCTTGTCATGTTTTTTCCTTTCCTTCCCATGGATCTGTAATTCAGTGGGTGACTTTTTTCAGGTTGTGGGAACCATGGGATATGCTGCTCCTGAGTATGTCCAGACAGGGCGTTTAACTTTCAAAAGTGATGTATGGAGTTATGGGGTGTTCCTTTATGAACTTATCACAGGTAGACGACCCCTGGAACGAAATCGTCCTAAGAACGAACAGAAACTCTTAGAGTGGGTAAAGCCACACCTGACTGACTGGAAAAAGTTTAGGCAGATTTTGGACCCAAGACTCGAATGGAATGATTCCTTTAGGTCAGCCCGAAAGCTAGCCATTGTTGCCAACAAATGCTTAGTCAGACACGCAAAGTCACGTCCAAAGATGAGTGAGGTGGTGGAGATGTTGAACTGCATTGTTGAAGCTCCAGAAGAAGTGAGTGGTTCTCAAGCACCTTCTAGAGATATCCTGCCTAAAAAACCTTCTGATGAAACTAATTCAAAAGCTAAGAGAAGGATTGCATATGTGAAAATGGGAGAAAGTAATTGGCTATTTCGCAAGTTGTCTGCAAAGCTTGCGAGGACATGCTGATTTCATTGGTCTCTTCCGCTCTGGGCTTTGTTTATTCCACTTTTACGCCTAATTACGTCCAGAAGATAAGATGCTATAATTTTTGGACTTCTAAATTAGAAGGGCAGAAGCTAAAATGTGTAATATCCGGATTTCTTAGTTTTTGGACTCAAACATAAAAATCCAAAAAGCCCGATGACCAATACTGCTATTAAAAATTGTTTGGGGCACCAGCATAGGTGGGAAAGCAGTGTCAATTTCTGAATTCTTGTATGTACTTTCTGGGGAGTATGTAACAGTTAGTTGCAAGGAATTTTAGCAGACCACAGCTGAAGCCTCCTGTGTTTAGTAGGAGCCAGTGCCATGTAGCCGATATGGAACTATTGAATTTTGATGATTTTTAAGTTGCAGCATGAAGCATTCTTCTCTTAAAGGGGCACTTAAGCAATTGATCTTCCCTTCCCAGGGAGAGGTTAGGAATTTTATGTAGACAATAAAAATCAATTTTGTATATTTTTTATTTATAAATAAACTCTTTCATGTTTAAATAACAAAACCTGCTTAGTGACTGATCCAAGAAAATGTATGAAATTTTTATTATTATTTTTATATATTGAAGATGTAAGTTATGAAATGAGAGATATGAACCCAATTTTTGATCTTCACATAAAATTTTCAAATATTTTATTATTTAAATTAAGTTTAAAATTTAATTTAACATTACACATTGTATAATATTAATCAAGCATCTAAGGAATACCCTTGTACCAAGTGTTAATGTTATTTTAAAAAGTAACTTAAGAGGGGGGTGAATTGGATTTTTATCGTGAAAGTTAAGTAAAAAAAAAAAATTAAGATTGAATACAATTCGCCTACAGTAAATATAAACAAAAATAAAATAAAGAGAGTAAGGATAAGAAATATAAACTTTTTTTATGGTGGTTTGATTAGCTACTTAAATCTACATCCACTCTCTTGAGCTTCAATCAGCCAAGATTTTATTAAATCTTTTACACTTGATAGAAGCAAGAAATTTCAAGTACAAATAAAGTCCCTTGCACTTGATAGAGGTAAGAAATTCCGATTGTAAAACTTTTGATTCGATAAACTTTCAACACCAATACAAATGGTAATAAAAACGAAGTAGAAATGTAGCAATTCCTCTTAAGTAGAATTAGTCACCACTCATATACAAAAATAATCTCACTTTAAAGAAGCACTCTCAAAATAAAACAATTTGCTCTATGTACTCTTTGATCTAATAATAAATAATGAATCACAAAAAATTTTAGAAAGAGATAGATGAAATTTTGAGAGTTTGTTATTGTGTCTTTCTTCCTTCAATCTATGCTCCTTTTATAGGCAAAAAACACCAAAGATATGTTAGAAATATGTTAGCTTTTGTGGAAGACAAAATCATTTGTCAACAGTAATTGCACATTAACTTATTTCAAAAATTCAAATAAAATGGTTTCGAATATTCAAAAAATCTTAAAAATTTCTTGAATACTCTGAAATGAGTCTATTTTCAAATACAAAAAAAAAAATCATTGAATTATCATACACTGTTTGAGAGAAATGATCAAAAGTTCAACGACATATTATACTGTAAATTTACTTTTGACAAAAATTGTTAGACAATTTCAAAATTGTCTAGAAATTTGAATTTGTATTTAAAAATAACAAATGATATACTTTTGAAAATCTTATAATGTCTACTTTCATTCAAAATTAGATTTGTACAAATTGGAATTTTATATTTTGAGATATGATAAAAACATTATGATACACTCAATTTGTCTGCTGACAATGTGACTCAGCAAAATGACCCATTTTGAAAAATTATATCTATCAATTTATAAGTGTAAAACGTGCATATAATATATGTATTTAAAGCTCAGCACGTCTATTTTACAAATAAATTCATTTCAGAATTTTATTTATATCATAAGTTATTGTTTACTATTTAAAACTTATATCACGCAGATTTCAAAAATAATTTTTTCAGAAAATAATATATAAGATTGATATAATAAATTTTTTTAATATAAAATAGTATATAAGATATATTATATATCAAAATAAAGATATTTAAGTATAGTTTCATATAAAATTAACTTTATTAGTTTTTGACTTTTTTATAGTAAGATATAATCAACTTATTATACACATGTTTAATTTGATAGTTTCACAATCTAGCACATGTAGTGTATATAGTTAAACAATAAACTTAATATTATAATTTATCCATATTGTCCATTATATAAATATATATATAATTTTAATTTATTTTGTTATTATCAAAATAAATACGAAACCTTGAAACTAAAAATCTTCCCATTTTTTGTGATGACAAAACAAATATATAATACAAAATATCTATTAAGCACATGTAGTGTATGTAATTAAATAATAAACTTTACAGTATAATTTATCTATATTGTTCATTATATAATTATATATATAATAATTTTAATTTATTTTGTTATTATCAAAATAAATATAAAATCTTGAGACTAACAATCTCCCCTTTTTGGTGATGACAAAACAAATATATAATACAAAATATCCATTAAGCATATATCATGTAAATTTTCTCCCTTTTTAACATCATCAAATAAATAAATTATGTATGCTCCCCCTCAATATATGTGTAAAAAATATTTAAAGACTTTCTTCATTCAAAAATGAATTAATACAAATAATATTAACTACATACTTGAGTCTATAAAATCAAGTTCTTTATTAATAAAACAAAATCTTTATTCATTAAGGGGTTTTGTAAAAATATCTGCTAATTGATATTCGATATTCATAAATTTTAGTGTTATATCACCTTTTTGAACATGATCTCTCAAGAAGTGATGTTTAATATCAATGTGTTTCATTCTTGAGTGTTGAATATGATTTTTAGAAATGTTGATAACACTAGTATTGTCACATTTAATAGGAATGTGATCGTACTTAAGTCCAAAATCTAGTAAAGTATATTTCATCTATAAAATTTGTACACAACAATTTCTCGCGATTGCATATTCCGCTTCGGCCATAAATAAGGCAACCAAATTTTGTTTCTTACTAGCCCAATAAATTAAAGATTTTTCAAGAAAATAACAAGTTCTATTAGTACTTTTTCTATCTAATTTACATCATTCAAAATCTGCACCTAAATAATTAGTAAGTTCAAAGGAGGTTCCTTTAGGATAAAATAATCTTACATTTATAGTTCCTTTAAGATATTTAAGAATTCTTTTGACAGCATGCAAATGAGATTCTTTTAGACTTGCTTGAAATCTAGCACACAAACAAATACTAAACATGATACCAGGACGACTAGCAGTGAAGTATAATAAATTACCAATCATATCTCTATATAACTTGATATCTATAAGTTTTCCGTTAATATCTTCATTAAGTTTGATTGAGATACTCATACGAGTTCTCATAATTTTAAAATTATTCATTCCAAATCTTTTTAGTAACTCTTTAGTATACTTAACTTGATTTATCACAATCCCTTCTTTGAGTTGTTTTATTTGAAAACCAATAAAGAAATTCAACTCACCCATCTTACTCATTTCAAATTCATTTGTATAGATGAGATGAATTGTTTACATAAAGATTCATTAGTAGGTCCAAATATAATATCATCTACATAAATTTGAATAATAAATAACCTATCATTTTCTTTCCTTATGAATAAAGTATTATCCACTTTTCCCATTTAAAATTCATTTTCTAATAAAAATTTTAAAAGTCTTTCGTACTATGATCTAGAAGCTTGTTTTAAACCATATAAAACTTTTGAAAATTTGTAAACATGATCTACATATTTCTTATTTTTAAAACTCGATGGTTGTTCAACATATACATCTTCAACAATAAAACCATTTAAAAAGGTAATTTTTACATCCATTTAAAATAATTTGAAATTCATATGAGATGCAAATGCAAGTAATATTCTAATAGTTTCAAATCTATCTACAGGAGCAAAAGTCTCTCCATAATCTATTCATTTTTCTTAATAAATCTCGAGCTACAAGTCTTACCTTATTTCTAATTGTATTACTGGATTTATCAAGTTTATTTCTAAATACCCATTTGATTCCAATAACCGTGTGATCACTAGGTTTAGACACTAATTCTTAAATTTTATTTCTTTTAAATTGATTTAATTATTCTTACATGGCCAAAACCTAATTTTTATCATTAATAGTATCATGAATAATTTTGGGTTCAATTTGAGAAATAAAAGACAAATATTTACAAATATTTTTCAATTAACTTCTAGTTTTTCTACAATTATTAGGATCACTAATAATTTATAACATCCCAACCCAAAATCTTCATTATGTGTTTTATGTTTTATTTTGTATAAGTATAATTAGTGGGACTATTAACGGTTTAAATTTAGTGTAAAAAAATAATAAAAGAATATATAATAATAATAAACAAATAATAGTAATAAAAGAAAAAAAAGAGAAAATTAGAGAGAGAGAGAGTTATAATTAGGTGGGGTTACATGTTCCTCCACTTGTCCATGGGAGAGTGCTTTTACGGAAGAAAAGGACAGAAGAAAGAAAGAAAATGAGAAAGAAAAGAAGAAAATAGAGAAGAAAGAAAGAAATAGAAAAGAAAGAGATGAAAGGAAGAGGTAGAAAAGGAAAGAGATATAGAGAAGTTAAACCGAGAGATAAAGAATGGGAGTTAGGGAGAGGGACGGGAGACGACAACCAAGTTTAGTCGATGGATTTTTGTGTGGTTTTAAGGTGAGTTTTTAAATGAAATTTTTATTATTCTCAATTTAGTTATATTTTAAATCCTTTTAATCGATTTAGATTTTTGGTTTGAGTACTATTTTCATGATATTAGGGAATAAATTTTTACCAGTTTAGATTAATTTTTTTATTATTATTAATTTATATTAATTTTATTGAAAAAGTGATTTAATTAGTTTAGTAAAAATAAGGCCAAGTTGACATTAAAATTTACCTGAAGGCCAATCTAGAATTTTACCGACA